CCACCTACATAGATCTATTTTGGTTGTATTGTGTTAGTTCTCCTTCTACCCACGAAGATCGCAGCGCTAAAATACGCACAAGCTTTTTTTAAAATTACTTGTAATTTTCTGTGCGGATTCGAAAACAAATTATCAGTTCGCGACCAGGAGATCGAAATGGGTCGAATCACACATATGTCTCGATTGGTGGAAGGGAAGTGATCTAACTGTAAGCTTAATCCGCATACTCAGAAGTTATTCAAATACTGTATGTGACAATTCCTGTACAGTTACTAAACTATACCATGAAAATTAAAGTGTATTGTTTCTGTAATATAAAGAGGAGATAATGAAACAAGTCATTCGGATGAATATCGAGAGCAGATGACCTCCGAGAAGCCACCCAACAATCTCATACTTGCACAGGATGCAACATTTACGACCGCATCAAGGCAAAATGACGCACTCTTCTGAAAGCGCACGATTCAGTCATGCGGTATTTCAGAACACCACAGTATAAATATTACTCATCACAATCCCATTAACATCAATTGCCATTTCATAGCAATTTACAATTCCCTTACACTATTTCAAATAATTAGTAATTACACAATGATTACTTGTGTTACAAATTATGTGTCGGCTGCGGTCGATCAGCACCAAGATTGCTGTTGCAACCGCTGCTGACGGTTTGCAACATCATTCAAGGATTCGAGTCCCGATGTTGGCGAATTTTCAATACTTGTTACTTAGCAGGAATTCAACTAGTCTGAAGCCGAATTCTAGCTACCGGCTGCTAGCCACCGGCTACTCCGCTCCATACGTCATGCTTTCTGTCGTGAATATCAGCCGTAGATGAAGGATGTCTTCCTTCCTTAATGCCCTAAACAATGAGACAGGAATCACTTGTGATTTTTCCATCATCTTGTTCTCTCTTCTTCCCTTACAGATACATACCTTTACATGCACTACACTTCCAAATTCATTACTTAACTTGTCCCGGCTGCGAAGGTTGGGGAAGATACCTACAGGATGACGCAACCCACAAACTCACGTTGGGGTTGGCGCCGGATCTGGCGCACCAGCCGAGAACGAACGGCGTCACCTTCCTGGGTATAATACACACTCCACGTACGAGAATAATAACCCAGGTAATTGAGAGACCATTCAACGCGAAATACTAACTCATTGACAGATTACCCTGGAAAGTCCCTCTACTTACATTTGATTAAAATTTGGAATAGCAAATAAATGCAGGCATCCATATAGTCGCACTACGCCACTCGTGACGAGCGGCGCTGTCTCAATCGCTGCCGCCTGCCCGGCTGCTCGCCGGCCCTCGCCGTCGCCCGCGTGCCGCAGCCACCACCGGCGCGACGCCAGCGCGTCTCTGCCGTCGCCGCACGCGGCGGGTAAATATAGCGAGCGCACGCGGCGACGGCAGGTCTTCCGGTTGGAGCCGGTTCACGGGCGGCCAAGTCCCCGCCCTTCTCGCTCTCGCTCTCTGCGGGCCGACCCTGGCTGGCGTCGCCGCCGTCGCCTCCGCCGGGCGTCGAACGCGCGCATGGGCTATGCCAGGGGCTGTTGACTGTCGTAACTCTCGCCGCAGCCGCCCGCCGCGCCGGATGTTCATGGCCAAGGGCGAGACGCACGCTCTGGCGAGCTCGAGACGCGTTCGATGATTAAAAGTAAGTTAAACAGGGATTATATAGCATATAAATATTCATTAAATGCATGTAATGTAAAACTTAATAAGAATATTTTAAACCAACATTGAAGGGTGTTTGGGACAGCAAGAAGGAAAGCAGGAACACTCAGAAGAAGTCTCCTGTTATTCGTAAATAATGCTAATATCTCCATTCTTGTGAAAATCGAGCTTATCGTTTTACTAAATACATTTTGTTCATATTTGTGAAGAACTTGAGACAGAAATCAGATAAGAAACACTTCTACTAAAATGGAGACAATTACGAAAAGCGGGAGACTTAAATTTAAATTTAAAACTTGAGTTTGGCAAACAACTCACGAATGGGTGATTCATCTCATAGACAAAACTGCTACTTTCAGCTTATGTGAATGCCAAAAAGTTGACACTCAGTCAATACATCAACCATCAAATATGGCGACCATCGGTCCTTATCACAGATTGCTGAACCGAGCTACGGAAAGAGCACACACCGCAGCTGCAAGGCGCGTACGTGCCGTTTGCTTTCTCACTTCTGTACTTACCACCTACGGGTCGCTGCCTAACGCCCACCTTCCACTCTCGCCGCCAATCGCCAACAGCTCCCCGCCCTTCCCAGCCACAGCCATTGCTCACCACTAACCACCCTTCGGGTACCGCCCACTGTTTGCACTGGCCGCGGCTCGTCACGTTTCCACTCATCGCCCTATGCCCATCGTCCTCCGCCCGTTCCCTTCGCCCATTCCCAAACATCCACTGCGCATTGTGTTCCGCACTCCTGCCTCCGCTCTGCGCCAATCGCTCGGTGACCATCGAGGGAGGGCGTCCCGCTGAAGGACGTCTCGGCCTACAAAGACGTGACCGAGACGCTTAGTGAAAAGTAATCTTCGTAGCATTTTGCTTGGTCGGACACGCACAGGGCGCGAGGCCGGCTCGGGGGAGGAGTTGGGCACTGGCGCAGGGCAGCATGTTCTTGGTACGCGTGTGTCAAATATGCCAGGGGGAATGATGTACAGCCTCGGTATGCAGCAGTCCGGCGGGCTCTATTTCGCACATGGCTCCCAAAGTTCGTGACGAGATGAGGCGGTACGCTCCTGTAGGGCGTGGGAGACACTGTCACCTGATGTCCCGTGATAAAGGCTAGCGGTGGAAACTGCCGAAGGCATTCGAGCTTGAGACGAATCTCGGGGACAGATACTTGTAATTGCATGCAAGTGTGATCGCAAGCCTCGGCTTTGCGAGGGGCGGCTGAGAACAGGGGCGGTGCAAGGGTTCGCGCTCGTTCGTGCATCGGTGGCGGCATGGGGCACCTTGGAGACTGAGTGCAGCGGCAAAAGTGTTCCGTAGGAGTTGGACATATTGTATATTGAAGTACAGCAAATAAATCTGTAAATAGCAACTCCTTGTTTGTGATCTTACTCTTATTACGACGTCACAATAAGCCGCGTGACGTTGGAGCTCACTTCGATACAGCAACGGCTACTTTTGCGCGCTCTTGCTGCGAGCACCTTGAGGGAGAGAAGAGAGAAATGAAAAGAGATACATTTGTTCACGAGGTCACGAATGTTTGTAATGGTTCGGTATGCATGTGACTTAAATGCTTCTCACTACAATATTACATGGTATCCACAAAGTAACACCTAACAGAAGTATCCACGAATATTTCAAAAATATATCAGCCGCAATGACAAGAAAAATTCAAAAACAAATAATGAGATGAAAATATCACAACAAAATACCAAATTAAACAAAAAATGTCAATGTTTCCGAGCGTTCAAGAGTGCAATTTCGAAAATGATGGTAGAAAATAAAACAAATGAAAACGATGCCAACCGTAGCTATAAACAAATGTTACTACAGCATGAACGCCAACACATGGGGAGTTTTATTGACAGTTGACTCCATGGAACTGTATCTTTACTAAACTTGAAGTGCAACGAAAACCAATGCCGTTAGAATGGCGGGTGATTTTCGTGAAGTTGGTATGATTCACTTTCTCTGGGACCATTTGAGTCTGAAAACTCGTATTCCATTATGTTATACCTTAGCGAATCACTGGCCTAAGAATGTAATTCAGTTCATGGGCAACTGGCCAGTTGAATGGACAAACACGACTTCTGATCTTTTTACTCTGAACCAAACCTCTTGACAGACTTAACATGTAGAGTAGTGAATATTTAGAAACATGCCTTTTCTAAGTGAAGAAAGTGGCAGGTAATTTTAACTAGATGCAAAACTGCACAATCTATTGTCTTGAAGGTCAAATAAAAATGTTCTGTTGCAGTTAAGAACATAGAAAATATATCATGTAAAATGTTCGTGGTCGGGAACATTATGGCTCTGGGGTGGAAGTACTTTGTGCCCCCCCACCACCACCCGTGATATATCGTTAAGCGCTTTATATCGTCATATTACATAGTGAATTGAAAGACATGATCACTATTTCCAATATGAAATCGCCAATGACTATTATTTTCGATAAGGATTTGTTTGGCCTTAAATAGTATTAAATTTTTCAGTGATGCACATTGGCGACCACCCATTTGATACTGTATAGTCCTCTTCCATCGTTCAAATCCTTTGCTATTCGGAGTAGCTGCTTCTTCGTGTGACTGATTCCCTCTTCAGCGTGATCCACTCGCACGGAACAATCGCATTCTCCAAGTTTTATTTCAATCACCGGCTTGTGCATGAAAAAATTGATTGGAGTTTATTAAGAGTAAATGGCATTTCGGAGTAAAGAGTTGTATCCCTGAACATTTCTTTCTTCCAAAATGAAGGGCTTATAATAATCATACATAAAAGTAAAAATGAATAATCTAATGTTGATGCTTCCTTTTGAACAGCAAACTTATAATTGGTTACCTGTTGGTTATTCTTCACAAATAATATCGAAATGCAGATATTCTGTTTTGTTTTGTGCCATTGTGAAGAGTATCTTTCTAAAGTATGTAAAACACACAAGTGGGCAGTAAAATTCTATTTATTAAAAAATTCTAATAGATTATTTTGACACAGTAAACATATAATAAATAACACTGCAAACGAACAGAATTTAAAAACCGCGTATAGGAAATATAGAAATCTGGGAAGGAAATTAATTATTCAAACCATTGTAAGATGGATAGGGAAAAGAAACAAAGTTAAAAAATAGCAAAAACTCTTTTCCTTAAAACTTATACATTATTTGGAGAATTTTATCGTGCTTTGAATTATTTGGCGCATGTTCAATTGTTTTTGGCAGTCATTGAAATTCTGAAAAAATTATAATAATGAGAAAAACATTTCCAAAAAATACGTAAAGAATAAATGTCAAGGAAATATTATGCAACAATTTAATTACTATTTAGTTTTTAAACTTTAATTATTAAATTCTTTTGAGCAAGTAAATATATTATTTCATCGCCATTGCATCCACAACTTCCAAAAATGACTCCGTTCTCTCTGCGCCTTGACAGGACCGCAAGCCTCCCCTCCAAAGGTTTTCGCACGATTGTCACTTTCGCACGATTGTTCTTAATCCGACTTCCGTTGCCTCCTCGGCGCCCTTCTCGCCGCCGCGCCGGTATTTCGAGCGGGCGACGTGCGCGGTGGCAGCGAGGTCCCGCAAGCGCCGGCAGCCACGACGCGAGGCGTCGCGAAAGCGGGCGGCGCGGCAGGGCGACGGCGCATTTGTCAGCGTCGCTGGCGGCCTGACGCTCCGCGTGTGCGCCCCGCGTGTGCTCAAAGGCCCCGCCCGCCGCCTGCTCACTTCGCCCCTTCCCTTCCCCTTTGACTTTTCTGAGTAGAGGTCCACTCTTTTGTCCTCGTCCTTTCCTTCACGCCATCCAGTCTTCTTTCGCCTTTTCTTGTTTTTGTCTTCCCTTGGTTTGATCTGGATTATTTTCGTCAAAGAACAGTAAAAACTGAGCACGTGTAATAAATACTGTCTATGACATACATAAGATATAATTCCTTTGCACTGTGTAACACTAAAAGAATGGGTACTCATTTTCTGGATCAAATTTCCTTGAATTTTACCTGTTTTTCAAAGCGTAATTTTACGCGGCAAGAAGTGGAGGCACATAAATTAAAGATAATATTAAAAAAAGAATGTACGTATTAATAACACTAGGGAACAAAAAACACCTTTTTTCATATCATCAGGATAAAAGAAGGAGATTTTAAAGGAAACGATCACGCTGATTTCGAAAATCACCATAAAATGTCTATTACGCAAGGTACACAAGATATAAACATATTTAGTATTTGAAATAAACAAAATCCTATACTAATTTCCGCATTGTCACTCCGGCTATATTACTACAAAAGTTTATGAGCATGCTTCATATGAAGTAGTAAGAAAAAGTTAAAATTGCAATACGTTTATTCGTGCAATAATATGCAGACTTTAAAATGGCTACAGTTCTGCATGACATTGACACTCTCAGAATCTGTCACCCCAACAGTTGGATACTTCTATACTAACAATAAGGTAAGATGCTAAAATAAATCCATTCAGTGACAGATGCGCAGTATGAGGGTCACTTGACTTGTTTTCCAAATATCCACTAAGACCTACTCATAATTGAGCGCCACTATCAGATCTTACAGGTGTAAATAGTAGAAAAATACGGTATGAGAGGATGTAAAGCTATGGTGTATTTAAAAACTGACGTGATATGCCATTTTTATTGTGATATTCGTAATCTACGTATAAAATTGAGTAAGTTGTGGACTCTACCTTCCTGGAGGTAAAAGTCGTTATCTCTAGAGAAATTTACTCAGATGTCTCTCTATAAAAACTCTCAGATGTCTCTCTATAAAAAACAAAATTACTCACATTTACGTAACTTTTTCAACAATAACGCTACACCCGCTATACTATGGTTTTGTAAGGAATTATACTATCTAGTTTTCTTCCGACTATAACCACAGGCTATAAACTATTTTGAGCTACATGTTTAATCTAACAAAGCCGTTTCTTCCCTTTACTCCTGTCAACTCCCACAGAATTACTGCAAGTATTCTTCTGAACGAATTCATGAAACAATCATACTTTACCTTTGCTTTTTCGCACTCGCTGTGCCTAGATTTGGATTACGTAAACCTCAACTACATTTGAATCCACAATCCAAAATCTGTACCACTGGGGTAGTCCCGGCTGGCCCTTCTTCCTCAACCTGCTCGGGCAATGAAGGAGGATGGTGTCAGAAGAGGAGGAGACAGAAAAGGAGGTGTTGGAGGGGTGGATGAGACAAAGGAGATAGAGGTAAAGGCGAAGGCGGAGGAAGTGCACGTGGAGGCGGAGGCGGTGATGGAGGTGGTAGAGGAAGAGGCATAGGTGAATTAGGAGGACGAGGTGGAGATGGTTGCGAAGGCGGAGATGGTGAAGGCGAGGAGGCGTAGGTGGAGGAGAAGAAGGAGACGGGGAACGGAGGCGGACGCGGAGACAAAGATGGTGGTGGAGGCCGCCGCGCAACGCTATACATAGCGGACAATCCCTCATGGCCGGGAGTCGCTGCCACGTGTCTTACGTAAGACGAGCTTTCGCCAACACCGTCCAACAGCATTCTGCCAATCTGTTCGGAGGAAGGTCCCTTCTGAGAGGAATTATTTTCCTCACATATCTTAGAAGATGTACTTCTAACCATGTAACTCACTTCAATAGTACAGGCGTAGCAAAAGACCGAGTGAGGAATGAGGTACATAACTAACGGCGACCGTTGGCTTTCGAAAATAAAAACATGACGAATGCATGGCCCCAAAAACTGCAAGCATAACACATGTTTAATCATTTTCGCCATTTTTCAACTATACCCTACAAAACTAATTTCTGACCGCTAGTTTTATCATTCACAAAATTGAATTGTAGATATATCAAATTGTTCAATAATTACAAATAAAACAACTATTTTTGCAGCTGATTACCGCCGTGCACTCCATTAAAGAGAATGAAATATAATACATTCTGGTGGTAAGATAAAAAATATAAAATGCATTTCAGTTTCTCTGCAAGCAATGACATCAATGGCAGCGGTTACAGAAAGCAATGGCTTCTCCTTAAAATTCTCTGATGTATTACAGATGGGTCATTCGAAACACCAGCGTAATGCGTACTATCACAGAAGAGGACACTTCTTTACTGTTTATACCTCCATTTAGTAGAGTATATTGAACTTCTCAGTAAGGAAGGATTCATGATCGCAAAGAAAAAAATGTTGGAAGCTACAAGGAAGAAAGAAGAAATATTGGAAGCTTTATTAGAAAAATCTTTTCAACGATCAACAAAGCCAACCAAAGGCAGGTTTACGATTTTTTTTCGAATTCTTTATACATCTACCTTGTCAGAGAATAATACGTAAAAATTTATTTTGGGAAAGCATTGGAATAGAGAAACTACGATTAATTTTAATTTTCCGAAACATTTGAAAACCTGAGCACAAATATATGAAACCAGTCAAGAAATGTGTCAATGTACTTTGTTCGTTTTAGTAAAGTCGCCCTCACCTCTGCAAGCGCATCGTGTTGCTTGCACATTTACAATGAGGTAGGGGGTATCTATTTTAAGAATCTTACAATGATCTCTACGTTACTCGAGAATTAGTCATATACAAATTGTTGAGAAGGGGAGGCAGTCAAATCCATCCACACACTTGAGTCATGTAGTTTCCTTATTCTTAGAACTCTATCTTAAGCATCTCGAGCTAAGCAGTATCAATAATTACTTATTATCAGGGCTCGGATTCTGACGACATGTCATCAGACTGATTTGTAGAGAAACATCGAATTTCCAGTTTTTAGACATGCTCTTTTATTAAGGGGATATTATTTCAGTAGAGTTTTATAAGTTTTATTCAGTCTATGATTACTATGAGGTTTCCATGTGAAACGAGTTTCCAGGAGGATGCCTAGGTATTTCATTGGTTTATTTAAAGGGTTCAGCTGTAATCCCCGTTTATTTGACAATTCGGAAAAGGTTTAACCGGCCAAATCGTTGTCCAGTCTGGGTGCCTATTTCAAGGCAGTGGGTGAGGGAGAGCACTAAATGAGAGAATATTTGTGCAGAGAGCACGCAATCGCTTGGAGAGCGAGCGCAGCGCGCACTCACCGGCGAGGAGCGGCGGGGAGGTCTGCGAGGAGCCGGTGGCCGGGGTGGGCGCGGGCGCGGGCGCGGGCGCGGGCGCGGGCGCCGGGTCGCGGCGCGCGCTGCCGGGGCTGGAGCCGCCCGCGTCGCTGGAGTCGCCGTTGGCGCTGCCGCTGGCGCTGCTGCTGGCGTCGGGCGCCGCGGCGGGGGGCCGGGCGGGGGGCGCGCCCGGGGCCTGGGCCTGGGCCTGAGGCGGGACCTCCGCCTGCGACGAAACTTGTGGGGGCGACCGTTGCGCCGGCGGGGCGCTGCTGGCGAAGTGGTGCAGGTTGAGGCCCTGCGTGTCGCGCGCGTCAACCTTGTCGTAGCCGTACCACCCCAGCAGCTCGTTCATCGCCGTCTCCGCGTACTCCTGCAACACCGTCACGCGCCACACGATTTAGGGCTCGCGTTCGTAGGGCGAGTTTAATTAGCACGATGACGAATAATGAGGTTATTAGTAGCTACACACAGACCTCACTCACGTCAACGCTCTCCCCCTAACCACACCTGGAGAATGAGAGGATGTCGAAACTATGCTAAGACTCGAATCCATTGTTCGAGCTCAGCTCCTGTGTGTGTAAGACCTCCGCCGATAGTCGCCACTAGTGATAGTCGCCACTAGTGCACTGCGATAACAACGAGGTTATTGAGTGTACTTTAAATTAAGTTTTGTTTGAATACAAGTTTAGATAAGCAGTGAAGTGTTCATCTATACGTGTACTATTTTAATTAATAATTATAATATTAGCCTTATTTAATTAAAAAGGCCTCCTGCAGGGTGGGTATATTGCAATATTAACATTTGACAGTCAGTTCAATACAAAACGAATCCTCTGGCCTCGGCCAGAGCATCCGTGAAGCTGTATTAACTTACAACGGAACAACGTGTGATGCAATGCAGTCAGCCGATACACCGAAGCTTACGCAAGAACAGCAGCTTCAATAGCAGCACCATCTACAAATGCAGTCACAACCAACGCAGAACAATAGCAAATAATCACCACCATCTATCAACGGTGAAGATGTACCTAGGCCAGACCAGCAGCTTCCATTACACCCTCCACAGGCGCAGAAACAATCGTGGCCTCAACAAATGCAAAGTAGTGACAAAGAAAATTCAGCAACTGATAACAACGGTGATGCAAGTACCGAAGGATGGTAAACAAACGTGCGCAAACAAAGAAGAGGAAGTGATGCAAGGCATTCAAATAATAATCTATTTATATTAAACGATAGTGGAATTCCTCTACATAATAAATTCGCCCCTCTAGTGAATGAAACTCACAATAAAACACAATGTAGTAGCAAGAGAAGTAACAAATCTTTCTATCCCATCTATATATATACCCGGCATAACAAATGTATCAAAATTACCAAATACCACGCAAAACGTTATTCAAGGAGACTTTATTTACAAAATGTGCAATAATAAAATCAAAGTAATGCCAAGAAAAATGGAAGCGTACCGTTTAGTAATAAAGTTACTCGATGAAAAAATGCAGCATATAATACTTAACAAATTAAACAAGACAGAGCTTTTAGAGTACTACGATACTTGCATCCTACAACTGATAAAGAAGAAGTTGTAACAGAATTAAAAAAACGTAGGACATACAGTTCGTAACAAGCACAATGTGCGGTACAGAGTAACTAAACGCCCATTCTCTCTTTTCTTCGCACACATAGCACCAAACCCAAATAATAAAGACATTTACAAAATACTGAACTTGTAAATGCCATCATAAAATGTGAACCTCCTTACAAAAAGAAAACTGCCGTTAAGTTTCACAGACGTCACAGAGTACGGACACACAAAGACATACTGCAGAGAAACCCCTAGATGCGTGAAATGCACTTCACAGAAGACTAAGAAGGATAGAAACATACCAACACTCTGCGCTTTATATTCTGATAATCATCCAGCCTACTACAAAGGATACAATAATACATGATACACAGAATACAAAAATTTATGTAAAAGTAGAAATCAACAGAGAAAATTCACAGATTCAATTCCTAAGGGGAAGCAAATAGTCCCAAGTTATTCAGAATTCCCTCCCCTTCCCATTCACTCACCCAAAAAAAGCAACTTCATGGAAATGCAACTCATTATCAAAATTCCCAACCAGCATGGAATACAAGAAAACATTCTAAGTCACTAACGACCAACAAAACCTCACTCAAGTCATTGATAAACCCTTCCAAGGCTTCGAAAACTTTTTGAAATAAGAACACGAGCAAATATTAAAAACCCTCCTTAATTTAATTATTAAATGGCGTGGAAAATAAAAATGATACTTCGGAACGCAAATTGTATACTCCAGTATCGCAAAGAGAGCATTGCAATTCTCAGCGAACAAGACCTAGATATCACGCTTATATTTGAAACCCACTTCACAAAAAACCTATCTTCAAATTCCGGGATACGTAATTTATACTACCCAACATCCGGACGGAGCAGCGCACGGAGTGACGACTGGTATCATTCGCAACTCCATAAAACCTCATGAGTTCATTGAATACAAAACAGAAGAAATTCCAGCTACCTCCGTAATGATCACAGAAAACGGCAAACCTCTAGCCTTAACAGCTGTTTATTGCCCTCCGAAACATAAAATTGAAAAGATCAATTTGTTGCATTAATAAAAACGCTAGGGAGAAGATTCATAGCCAGCGGAGACTACAATGTCAAACACCTACAGGAGGTCTCAAGGCTCAATACATTAAGGGGGAAGAACATACTCAAAGCAACAATGGAGTGTAACTATAAACATAGGAAAATCACAACATATTTTATATTTTCACACACATTGCCGAAACTCTATGTTACCGAAAGAGACATGGTAGATCCACTGACTTGTTCTTCTGGTGGGGCTGTTTGACGATGTTTACCAAAGGATGTCTCATGCTTTTTCGTATTACCCTAACATAACTAACAAACGTAAATTCAGTCACCTGAGCGAAGTTGTTCGGACGCAGCGAGATCGGTGTGACCACGCTGAATGGTATTACAATGGACTTCATTGTTTTGGCCATATTTTAGGCTTCGTTAATATTTTTAACGAACTCTTGCTGATGAGTTTCAACATATGGATTTGGGATGAAAGTCAATTTTACCTGGGAGCGTAACCTAAGCAACAGAACAGGCGTTCACAGCCGTTCAGTTTTACTCGGACGATTTTCTCTTTTTTCAGATTAACCGAAAGACTTTCTCTTGTAAACAGGGGATTTAAAAAGCAGTTTTGAATACTTTTATGATTATTAACATTATTATTATTTTCCTCAACATTACGATATAATATATGTGTCGACTGAATGTAAAATCTACTCCAGGTTGCAACCAGCTACACAAGGAGCAGATCTAGAGACTCAAAGCTTGCACAAAATGTGGGCTATTCCAAATACAGCAATTTCTTGCACTTTCCAGTCTTTTGAATGACCAGGAAGATTAACCAAGTTTTTACACACATTTTGCGGAACAAATCCGAAAGTTTCGATTACTATGAAGACGACCTGTGATTTTACGCCGCATAATCGGTTTATCTCGATTTCCAAAAAACTATATTTCAGATTAAGAAACATATTCTGCCTCTTTGGTTACGTTTTGATCGCACCGCACAGAAACATATAGAAGTAAAAACTATTTTTTCCAAATATCGGATAAAATAATTATAGACGTCATTGCCAACAATAGTTGCAATAATACTATTTTTGGCAATGACAACGTCTATAATTATTTCATGAAAAATGCCAACGATAACGCACCACAACACCTATATAAATATCGGATAACCATATCCGATTTGTTTGCGACGATCGTTCGATAAGTTTGAATGTTTTGGTCGTAGAGTGCACACAGTCTAACAAATGTCACAGGTTTTGGTGAGTTTGCGTTAAGACTTGGAGCACGAGCTTGAAACTTCGAGGGTGGTACAGATCTGCCAGTGGAAATAACTACATATCCTGTCGTATCTTTTCAAGTATTTGGTCTTTGCTAGATTGGACAACCTCAGACGAAATGACGAATGGTTTTTACTTGTTCCTGTCAAATGCGTCATCTATTTTGGTAAATTTGGAGAACCGCTTTATCATAATGTCGGGTTCTCAACGCCTGATCGTGGGCAGCTATTAGAACTACTTCCGATTCTGGCTTCATTTTCTCCCTTTTAAACCACATAAATGATTGATTTTTATTGATATGCACCTTGTCCATTGGTTTTAGATACTGCCCCAAGGAGTGAACCGTTCTTTTTTGTTTGTGTCTCGTGTTCATATTTAATAGTATCAGAAGTTATCATCTTTTCAGTTCTATGTTATTCTGCGTGTCGTTCGAAATGATCTAACATTCTTCAATACCCAGATAATTGTATTGAAGTTTTATTTGGCTCAAGATATTTAAACACAATGTGCCTATCAGCCTCAACGTCACTTTGCCTCTGGCAAACTTGTAACAACTTGCAACTTGCTACAAAAGTTTGCACGCTTGTGAAGATGAAACTTCATCAAATCTTATTGTTAAAGCCATTAACAACGCAGCATTCGAGAGAGAATAACTTCATTATTATTATTGTTATTATTATTATTACTTTTCAAGTCTCTCACTTAGCGAGTGCCCAGCAGCAGACACCGGAACCTGTGGAGCACACAAGTACCTGCTTCGCTTGCAAACTCCTGCGGTCAGGATTCAACGTAAAGTTATATTAATGAAAACTTCACGATGCGAGCAGTACTCAGAAGACCAGCCTTTTGCATTGATTGAAAACTGCCAGTTCTTAAGGCCAAACCTTGCAGACGATGGAATCAGTTCCTCAGAGATCAGTCTATTTGCAGAGGTATCCCGAGGGTCTACTTCAACAGATTCTAACCACCACATGACACTCAGTTCAATACCCATGGCCTGATATTTTCGCTTCTTCTAGGCAACTATATTTCGCTAATAAAGGGATAGCTATATCGTCTATAATCGCTTTCCGTGAGGCCTTATTATTCCATATTATGTCAGGTCTGTTGGCTTCGACCCTGCAGTCAATAGTTACTGCTACATTCCACAAGAGCTGCCACCGTTTCGACTCCAAAACTGAATTTGGCTCGAACTTGTAGTATGGAAACACTTTCTGTATCATCCCCGACTTTGCAACTAGGTCCTGATGAACCACTGCCGCAACGTCGTTGTGCTAACTCAGGTATTCTGTTTGTGCCAAAGCAGAACACCCGCCCATGATGTGATGGAGGGTTTCGCCGGGTTGATTGCAAAGGTGGCAGCGGTCCTCTACACTCATATCTCCAATCACATACTTTTGGTAATTGCGAGCGGAGGGTATTTTGTCTAGAATAGAAATGACCAACCGTTCTGTCTCAGCAAAGAGGTCAGATTTTCTTTGCCAGGAGACTGACGAACCCATATTCACGGCGTTCCCTTTGAGCTTAGCAGGATACCAGCAATACAAACGCTTCTGGGTCCACTCAATCAGCCTAACCTCTTTGGTGATACGATCTTGCCCAAGTTCTTGGATATTTGTGCCACTCATCAAGGTGGGTTTCTCTGGATCAACGGTTTTCCCCCTTTCCCCTTGCACTGCCGTGCATTCATCAACGCCAAACTCCACACAAATAGAGTCGCTAAAGGAGTTAGCAAGTTCAAGGAACGAGGAAATCTGGTTCTGATCTCTGGTGTACTACTTGAGATCGTCCATGTAGAACTGATGATTAACGAGGATATGGGGATTTTTGGTGATTTCATATTCCATTCCTGAATATCTTAACACTCTGCTGGGAGGGCTTAGAGCTAGCGAGAACCATAAGGGACTAAGAGTATCTCCCTGAATAATTCCTCGTTTGATCCTCAGTGCCTTGGTGCTGTAGCTGCGTCCAGCAAATGAGACGTTTATGTTTGGACACCAAGTTGCCATTCCGTGTTGGATTAAGTTCACATACTGGGCGTATACTTTGTAGAGGCAAAGAACATGCAAAAGCTACTAATGAGGTATCGAGTCGCAGGCCTTGTGTAGTCAATCCATTCTAAAGAAATGTGTTGTTTTTTTACTTGATAGACTACAACAATGTCTACAATCAATAATTCTTTGCAACCTTGAGCACCCTATCTGCAACCATTTTGCTCTGGTGTCAGAAGATTGATGGCGTTTAGATGAGTATTCACCATACTGGCTAGCAAAGATGTAAAAATCTTATATACTGTGAGAAGAAGTGATAGGTTGATAGTTACTCGCAGTCTTAGGATCGTTAGACATGCTTATCATAAATGTAACTCCTTCAGTAAAAAACGCCGTAATGATGTAACGTCATAATGATCGTTGAATGCAGCTTGAAATCACCTGGCCAGAACCGCATGAGTACACGGGATATACTTCCACCAAAAGTTTTGTATCCCATCAGTATTTGACTTTTCCCAATTCTGCGTCTTCCTAATTGAATTGAAGATATTTCTCTCTGTAATATTTGGCGATACTTCCCTTCTTCTGATAACTAGTATACTCCATCATGGGTCTTGGGGATGCTCCATTTGTTACGCGAATATTCTTCCAACTCGAAGCCCTTAAGAAGTGTTTCAGGCAACTTTCTTTGATCGTTGAGTTGCGTGAAAAATTTCTTCTGGTCGCATGAAGACAAAGCATTCTGTTGTCTTCGTTTCATTGCTTTACGGTATCTTCTTATACGGCACCCAAGGGCTGCGACGCGCTGTTTTAGATACTCAAGTCGGTCTCGGAGCCTTTCCTCGAAATTGGTCTGGGTTCTTCGAATTCTCATCGCCTCCCACTAATTGTCCAATCGCCTTCACTACATTACAGACCTTTCTAGTTGCAGTTTGCATTCTTTAAAGAAGTGCTGTCATAGTGCCTGTGTCCCGCCGAAAGCTTTCAAGTTTGCATTCAATACGCCTCAACCATGGGGGTTTGGTGGGTTTAGCGG